CAAAGCAAAGCCTACAGCCTCCACTGTGGCTTCATCTGCTCCGCTCTGAGTCCCTTTGAGATGGTAGAGGGCATGTGCCAGATGATTAAATTCAAAGCAGCAAAACATACGGAAATGATCCAGGGTTTCCGCGGATCATTTAAAATAATTACAATCCATTATTTTTTGGGGGATTTTTTTCATTAATTTCATAAATTTTTATGGGATTTCGGTGTAACAATCAACATATACCAAACCGAAACCGTGAATCGAACCGAACCGTGGATATTGTGAATCGTTCCACCCCTAATATATATACACACACATGTATATACACACACACGAGCAATTCAGATTTGGTCTCTAGAGGCAGAACTTTCTGCCCGTATGATTGTTTGTTTCGCTCGGAGTGAAATCAGGCTTTCTGCTGATAAAAACCGCCTACCTTTTATGTCCATTAACTTCCTGTACTGCAGGTCTAACATGGTGCGCTTGTCTTCCAGTTCCAGCTGTCGGGACCTGAGGGGAAAACAAACTGTAGCTCAGCCATGTCTGCAGAACATCCTGCTGATGCTGCAGGTCATTAATGAGGCCCACTGCTGCCATGGTGAGAGCAAACATTGACCTCAAACTGCGTCGAGGTTCTTATTAACCCCTCTGCTCCTCCACACAAAGCTGTGCAGGTTTTTTTTCCTGATGGATTTCCATCTTTGCCGGGTTTCTAGTTGGGTGAAGAACTAAAGAGCTGAATGTGCAAAGCTGCTGAGATTCTGACTTACTCCACCATCAGGTCCGACTCCTCAGACACCAAGGCGTTCTTCTCATGGACCAGCTGGATCCACTGTTCAATCGAATCAGAGTCTGTGTTGTCTGAAAAAGAGAAAAAATAAAAAATAAACCCTTTGTTTTTGTTTTTTTTCTCAAAAGAGGAAGAATATTAAAGTTGAAGAGGAAGATTTTCGTCACATGAGGCGGCCTCACATGGAGAAACTCGGGACAACTCGAATTAGAAATTCAGCTGTCCAACAAAAAAAACCCAAACTTTTTTCTTTCTATTAATACAAATGTGGAGCCAAGCTGTGCGCTTTACTGGATCCTCTCCAAAGTTGACTTTTCTGACTGTTTACAGCTGATCTTACAGAATCTGATGGCCCTTTTAGAGCCTAAATAGAATTTCAGCACTGGGTGCAGGGAGCAGATATAAACAGATGTGACGCTATCTGCGGGTAGCACATCATAACATCGAAAACTAGCAGATATTAATTAAACACACTACATCTACAGTAACTCTTAGTTCTAATGTATCATCCCAGAACCTTCTATCACAATATCAAACATGGACCCAGCATCAAAGTTAGAAATTTATATTAGCCCCAAGTAGAATCTCACCTTCTAGATTTTAGAAACTGTGAGAAAAACATAAAAACTGTTGTTATATTTGGAGACTTTTAAGACCCATAGTGTCTTTTTTTAAGCAACTAGAAACAAATCTAATGACTTTTCTCTGTGTTTCTGGTGAGTCTAACAGCTACACATGAAAGCAGCACTATAAAAGCTGCCATGCGTCTCTCCCTGCTTCCCTGAGTACTGTCTGACAGGCACAGGCTGCTGCCTTGTCCTGAGCTAAGAGAGTAGAGACCTGCTCTGTTTTACCTCAGCTGATACACAATATGGGCAAAGCTGCTGATGATTCTGCCCTGGACTACAAAGCAGGATATAAATATAATTTTAAATCAGGTTTTTCGGAAAGGAGAAGCATTCGTTCCTATGGTAACACAGCAACGCTGCAGCTCTGTGGTTTGGGTTAACATAACATCAAATATTTGTCATTTTCAGAAAAATTTATCTAACTATTTCAAATAGAACTTCCATTTAGGGACTAATCACGTCTTTTTTTATTTTCCTAACTTGTAATTTTCCCTCTGTGTGAAGAAGATGCATAAACCAGAGGAACTGTTTCTTCAGTCACTAGTTCACCTGCTGCTAAATTCCAGCGAGCCTGGACTGTTCAGCCCTT